GCAACGCTACAAATGCGCATGAACAGTAAAAACCAACACATGCATAATATCAAATGAAATAGGATTGCATTGCCTTTCGAATGACATCAATCCCACAAAACAGTATTTAAAAGGTGACGAGTAATGGCCTGCCAAAAAGTACCAAAACTGCCTCATTCAGTGGGACCGTGGCCTTAAGGGTATCCACACGAAGGAGAAATCCGCCCCTTTCCTCCGCGGATCGCGCATCACGTGAGACATACGTCATCCCTTTTTGACGCCTCGCGGCGCGTTCTCCTCCGTGGCGGAGGCGCGGAGGCTTTGTGCTGACAGCACGGAAGCTCCGCAAGTGCACGCGGCGGAGCCGGGGACGGAGTTTCCCGGAATGTTGACGTCACGACATCCGTCCGCGGAGTTCTCCTTCGTGTGGATACCCCGGGGCTAGCCATGTCCGTATGTCCGTTCGATGCTCGGCGTCGGGTGCTCGTGCTCACAAGCACGTGAGTACGTGCTCCCGTGCTCGTGTAGGACAAAAAAACAACAAAAAAACGCATCTCCGCGGGGTGAATGATGTTGATTGGGGCGAAGCTCTGGTGGTGCTTGGCTGCGTAGACGGTGAGCCGCAGCATGCCGAGCCTTTCGTTCGTTTTCATCCATGTCAGAAAGAGAATGTGTGGTATGGAACGTGGTTATATACGCATTTGAGCATTTGACCGCAGCGTGACATGGAAGAAAACGAACGAAAGGCTCGGCATGCTTCGACTCAGCGTCTACGTAGACAAGCACCACCAGAGCTTCGCCCCAATCAACATCATTCACCACGTGGAGATGCGTTTTTTTTTTTTTTTTTTTTTTTTGTTTTTGTGGCACATTTGTTTTTATATTAATGTGCCTTAATGTCCCTTTATGCTTTATGCAGACCCTACGGGTCTGCGTAGGGCGTAAAGTGTATCCACTCTTTATTTTAATAATGGTGCCTTACCTTAAGACTTTCCCAGAGGCTACGCGTGTAGTTTCTGTATCTTCGTTATACAATGTACTTTAGGTTCTAAGCTCCCACGGCTGGTACCCTCTTGAACGACAAGTACTGCGAAAGGCTCAAAATTAAACGCGAACTGGGAAACACTATCACCATCACCACGAAATAATGATAGATTTTGTTACAGAAGGATTCACATCCATCGTTTTAAATATGACAAAAAAAATTAAAAATGGGACTTGGCTACTGGCTCTCAGCGCCGGCTACTCCTTGGCATGGGACACAACGATAATTTTACAGTACGAACATGTGCCAGATTCATATGATGAACATTCCCTGTACTTTTTTGAAGAAGCTACCTACGTATGAGGCAAAACGAATCATGGAAACCAAACCAAGGCCCCATTTATAGCTGCAGATGTGCCACAGCTAGGGTTGTGCGAATAGTAGTTCGAATCGAATAGCGCTGCGTCATTCATAGCCTTTACAGTGTAAGGGAAAGCCAAGACGACCGGTTCTTTCAACAGTACAGAAGCTAGGGATGACTCTGCGTTTTTCGATTCGAACCACTTTTCGCACAGCCAGGGAAAAATGCTGCTATCACACTTCCCTAAAACAAACCTTGAATAACGGTACTAAGGAGTGACACTTGTATACAGCAGTTAACCTGCGGAAAGATGAGCACACGGATACACACGTAACATTAGAAACATATTTGCTGAAATGACTATTTTCAGGCCATATAAAATTAGCGCGTATGACGTATCGGTTTATAGCCGCGTAGTTAGGAGAAAAATAGTACTCAGTAATGCTCGACCAGCTATAGTTTAACGAGAAAACTTTCTCAACGGGAGTAGCGTGAACGCTGGTCATGGTCCACCACGGTGCCATGGTCCCAATGTTCTTCGCGATGGTCAAGGGTCTTACACTAATCGCTGGTAGCCTCAGTTCTTGAGTCTCCAGCATCTTTCAAAACGTGTACATTACATTACTTATTTATTGAAAGATAAGAAACACACGATGTCGCCGCATCGCCCGTTGATGCCCGTTTCAAACGCGTGACTTGCCCCGGCATCACAACAGCGGCCATTGCGGTGACTTTTCTGCTGAGCACGCATCTTCAGCAGTGTACACCGGCCGGCAACATGAAGGTGAACAACTTACCTGGCTTCTTGCTTGTTTAACGGCTCCCTAAAGCTATGTTAACTCTCAACGTCTCAAATGGTACGTGGCTTGGGGGTCTAAACTTTGCGTTCTAGCCCTCTTCTGGAGCAGAGCTTGTTCCCAAACTTGCAGGAGCGTCAAAAACAAGAAGAGGGCTGTTCACCTTCATATCGCTCACGGGTGTACATTTTACACCACCGAATTCGTTTGTCTCAGCGAGAACAAGTAAAAATAACCGCCAGCAGAATGCGATGGCGCCAGGCGCAAGCCACGTATTCGATATGAACAGCCTCTTCTGTACCGGCCTACGTTCACGTAAAACTATACCGGATGATGCACGTCAATGACCCAGATTGGCAGTCCTACTGCAAGTGCCAAGTTTCCCCTCTGTACTTCGTTTTTCTTCAAATCCAATCGCGGCCGGCGCGACAGTCCCCATAGAGACAGTCAAGCAGCGCCGAAAGTGCTTCGTCACGGCCCTAGTTTTTTTTTTTTTCGGTTTGCACCAACTAAACTGATCACGCAGCGAAAAAAGAATGCAGGATTGTTACATAACGATCATCGCCGATTTCTTTGAAGAAAAAACGGAAGCGTGGTCGTTTGCTAGATTATAATGGATTCTCGCACAATATTTTTTTTTAAACAAAATCTTGATTACGTGAGCGTTCTTAAAATGTCTGCAGCAAATCCGAACTAGGAGGTAAGGATGTCGGGGAAATTAGTAAGTATAATAGGCTCTTTCAATTACTTTCACTGCATATACTCTGCTAAGATATGGCTTTTGCGTGTGATGCCAAGTAACAGCTTTACTCTGTTGATATTTTGTGGAGTAAACAAGCAGAAAAAGAGACACGTTCGTCGCTTTTAGCTTTTTAAGATATTTTTAAACCTCCTCTGGCCTGGGCTGAAAACGATAAAGCGAAGAGGTTTCCCAAAAATAAATCTCATAGTTACCCCAAGACCCATTTTTCCTGAAGAGGCCCTTTTGATAAAATTGTGCGGGGCAGCTCATTAGGCACATCAGCTCGTTACCTTGTAGTTAAAATTTGCTTATGACATGAATTTTGATTTAAGCGAGAAAAACATTTTTGAAGTTAAGCACAGGCGTATCGGTCTTCGTAGTACCCTACCGGGCCTTCACCACACAACACTTTGTTTTAATAACCATACGGTTTGTTTTATTAATGCTGATTCCACAACAATGCAGTTCAAGGTAGTTCACGAGGTATATATAGCCCAAACCCCATGCACTTGGGGCTCGAAGGCATGTGGTGTGTCACGGATTACCAGAGCACGTGCATGCTGTGTAGTGAAGGTACTATGCGGTACCACGCAAACTACACAAAAAGTCACACTTAAGAAGAAAAAAAAAGTTCCTGTTTAAAACAAACTTTAGTCCAATAAATTTTCATTAATTAAAAAGTAACATGCTGATATACAAAATGAGCCGTCTCGAATATATTTATCAGAAGTGCCTCGATGCTTAATATGGGTCTGAATCTTCAGCAACAGTGAGTTCTGGGCAACCTTGATGTTTATTATTTGGAAAACTGTTTGCTCTTTCGTTCTGAAATAATTTAAGTATAGCAACAGCCCAAGTGACTTAAGGTTTTAAAATATCTTCCAAGGTCAACTGTGCTTTCTGTTTTAAATACCGAACATGTCTCGTTTCCTGCTTGTTTAGTAAAAAAAAAGTGAAAGCCGTTTACAACTTCCTGTAACGCCGAATTGGAGCGCAGCTCTTGAGGAGGAGGAGTGGAGGGTATATTCCTCCTCCTCCCTCGTGATCATGCCTGCTAGTGCTCCTCGCCTCCCGCTCCCACTCCCTCTCCTTTACCACCTCCTCGTCCTTCAAGCTCCTCCCCCCCCTCGCCTCCGGCTCCTCGTCTCTCCTCCCCCCTCCTCCACCTTCGCACTGCTTTCCTCCTTGCCGCTCAAGCCGGACAATGAGGGGAGGAGGAGGAGAAGGAGGGGGAGGAGGGGGAGGAGGAAGAGGGGGAGGAGGGGAGGGGAGAAGGGGGAGGAGGAAGAGGGGGAGGAGGGGAGGGGAGAAGGGGGAGGAGGAGGAGAGGGAGGGGCGCGGTTACGCCGACGCCGACGCCAACGGCGACGCCGCTCAGGCTGGAAACGGGCCCCTAAGAGCTGCGCTCTAAAAAAAGCTGTTATTTAGCGCGAACTATGCATCACACGAAAGGACAATCTCGGAAGATAACGTAAAAGTAGCTCATCTATCTTTTTCAATCGCTCTTTTTTCGAAGATTTTTAACTTGTATCTATACTTCGTTTCAGCTTAGGTCCAGACGCAGCCGACGCTACCCAATGGAACAACTCAAGCGTCAAAAGCACAAGTCACTGGTCCCTTTCTCTATATGATTGGGGATTATAGAACACGTACAGGAAGCATGGCGAGCACCATGAGGGTGCGCTTTTGACGCTGTCTGATTGGTCCCATCATCTCGTAGCGTCGGCTGCGTCTGGACTTAAAGGCCGACTACCAGACAGGAGATTCTGCAAGGCAGGAGATTCTCCTCACCCTGGTGAAAGAGGAAACAGGCAACGGTGGATAGGGTAGAAGGGGGAAAGGAGGAAGCGGGGCAAAAGTGAAAAGCGCGAACTGGTCGTCGGTCTTTAAACGAAGCATATTTTTCGGCTTTGCTGCAAAATTAAAAAAAAAAAAAAAAGCGTTCACGTGTTTAGACTTTTTTCTTTTTTTAAATCGTCATTTTTGGAAACCGCTTGGGACGTTTGCATTCAATGACCCAGGATGGCGGCGTATTCACTGTGCGTAGCGTCAGCCTAGGTTTAAGGTGAACCAAAGCATAGAGTTCCGGTTGTTCAGACATTCATACAATCTGCTTCGATCTGACCCTCGCTGCAGGATGGCCCTCGTACGGATGGCCTGGTACCGGATGAACCGCGACGGGCTGAGCACGGCCAAGTACCGCGTCGTCGCCAAGCAAGAGCTGCCCCTGTACACCCACGTCCTGGTGGACATCGGCCACAACCACAAGTGGCACTTCTCTGGCTCGCACAAGCTCATCATCAACCTATGACCCCCGTGTCCCGCGGCCTTCGGAGGACGCCGGTGGCCCCCCACTGCTGCTTCTGCCGCATCTCCGGCCGCACACAAGGACAGTCGTCGCACTCGCCGTGTGCTGTGCACGCGCCTGCGGACGTGGACGTTCAGCACGCGCCACGCCGCCAAGTGGTGCACGCTGTGAAGCGTGAATGTGGACTCGAGGGGAAGGAGACAGTGTTGTGAAACGACGAGGAGCGTTGAGGAATGCAGGAAAACGTTTTTTCGTTGTTTCTTTTTCTGCGTAGTGCCGAGAGAAAATGCCGGTTCACACATTTGCGTTTGAGTGGGCTGAATGCGTTGCGTTTCCTCTCAACTGCCTAACCCCCTGGCACAACTGACGCCATTTGTCGGGTGCCGTATTACACTTCTGACCTGCCTATACATTTTATAACTTTTGACGCATCACTCAATGACGGTGGGCACGAAGTAATGCTTTCACTCTTATCAGCGATTATCCCTCACGGGTAGCGCGTAGATTTCATCTCGCAAACACAGCAAAACCTTGTTTTTTTATCTTGGAGTGAAGTGAAAGGGAAAAGCGAGGAGCTGCAAAACCTTTAGTCTAGTCATGCACAGGTTAGAATAAAGCCCCTTAATGAAATTCATCTTTCGCGTTTTTTTTTTTTTTTGAGCGCAGCTCTTAGGCGCCCGTTTCCGGTTTGAGCGGCATCGCCGTTGGCGTCGGCGTCACCGCGCCTGGTCGCATTATGGGAATAATGCAACCGGGCGTAACCGCGCGTTGCATTATGGGAAAATTTTCCTGCTAAATTTAACAGGAACACTTACGTTAAGTTTTCCCGCTATATTTAGCGGGGAAATATTCCGCTAAATTTAATGGGGAATTTTTTCTTTAAAATTACCGGGAAAATGTCCCTTTAAATTTAGCGGAAAATATTCCCCACTAAATTAAGTGGAAAAATTTCCCCACTATGTTTAGCGGGGAAATTTGCGCTAACTTTAGCGTGAAATTTAGCGAAAATTTCCCACTAAATGGGAGGGGAGTGCGAGAGGAGGAGGAGAGTGTATGGAGGGGGAGGAGGGGAACCCTCCCCTCCGTACCCTCCCCTACTCGTCCTCAAGAGCCGAGTTCAAATTCGCCATTACAAAAAATTGTAAACGCCTTTTTTTTTCTTTCTTTTTTTTTTGCCGAGAAATATTATTGTGCGATCGCTCGAAACACATTTCTCGAACGAGTGCTGCGCCACCATTTGCTTCTATAAGCAGCACGATGCACGGACCTCGTGCTTCGGTACCTTCTCTCGCTGATCGTAAAACGATCACGAACCTATCGAAATACTTGAAAGGAGCAGTGCAACGATGTTGGGAAGGAACGTTCCTCACTTTGTACAAGCCTACTGGCACTAGTGGGACCCAAGTAAATATTCGCACGCAACGCCAAGCTTCTTTGTCGCCTCGTTATTTGAAGGATTAAAAGCGGGTATTTTCTTTCGGGCTCTCCTCCTTAAATCTTGATGACGAAGTTGTGGGGATCGGATTGTTGGCATTGTCAACGATGAAATCCCCAGGATTTTTCTGTCAATCATTGCGATCCCCGGGGTGACGATACTTCAATGAGGGCTCGTACAATGGACACAAGCACTTCGTGAGCATTCGAATTGGGCTCGCGACAATCAATGCCCCATGCATGCATTCGGTTAGCGGCTCGTGCCCAATCGCTGCAATGACGGGAGTGCCCGATTCTTAACGATGTGTGGAACTCAGCACGCGCCCTGTACCTTGCCAACCCCGGTGCATGGATATATGACCAACAGTAGCTCGTTTGATTTGCCTACACCTCGTGCATCTGTAGGGTGGTGTACTTCTGGTCAATACACATGCCGGGAGTACACTGCAAGTACTTTTCTGCACCGGTGCAAGAGGGGCGGGTAAATCGAACGAGCTTATTCTTTGGCATATAGTTGCCTTCAGATCACGTGATCGCTTGTTCTGGCTGCGAGTTGAGGGGGTGAACGCTGCTCGGTTTTTCTGGACATTTTTTTTTTTTCTGCGACTGCCATTGCTTATTGCAAAAGCGACCTACAAACCACCTGACCCCGATCGAGCCGCTGTGCACTCTCTGTAGTACAGGCACCCTATATACTGTTGAGCGGCTACAAGGGGACGTAACGCATTCGGCACACTCAAACGCAAACGTGTGAGCCAGCTGTCCGATGTCTTAAGCCCAGATTTCGCGAGAAAGTAGCCGCTTGTTGGATGCACTATGGCGGAGACGTCCAGAAAGTGACTCCATGAGTTCCCAATGGTATCCGGATTGCTGCCACGCTGGTGCCGGGCCGATCTATTTTGAATCTCTTTGCAACGCCAACGTATGCTCTACTAGTCTCACGCAAGCCTGCATCATTGAGAATACCGGTATGCAAGGCCAACTCGATAAGACTGAAAGCGCAAGAAGGCTGTTCGCATTTCGCATGCATTGATACCGTCAAATATGTGCTTTTTGAACGTTTTGAATAGAATATATTTTGACTTGAGCATGAAGTTGGGTGCCAACATGACTGTATCCAGATTCTTTAGCGGGTTACCAACATATACAATGCATTCTCAAGACGTTGGCGGGTTGTTGTTTAATGTTTCAATGCGTACATACACTTGATAGTGAGTGAGCTTCTTGAGCTCACATCTAATTCAGTTGTAACGACTGGCTCGATTGAGTAGTCTTTATTGGTAGAGCATTGAAATTTTGTTACGCAATTAAAGGGACCACGAAACGCTTTTTCTTACATTAGATAAATACTGGTTAGCCGCAATCACATGTCCATAATACGATACATAAGTTTTCTCTTTTTTTTTTCTAACTTAACGCGTGAACAGTTACAGAAAACAGCCGACAAAGTTGTGTAGTGGGTCGTACCACCAATTTTAGCCGCAGCCACATGCTTTGCCTGTAAATGCTTGGGGCGCGTGATGTACAGTACTTCGGACATCTATGAAGTGCCGCTATTTGTGTAATCGTACCTTTCTTTTTTCTTAGAACGGTGGAAACATCGATGAGCATGCCGGAACTGTAGCCCCGTGCAAAGCACGCCTCTGAACTCTGCACTTCCAGTCTGCTCTTCAGCGTTCCAGATATCTTGCAAAACTCATCGTGCGTGCGAGTGAATTCGACGTGCAACTTTAGATGCAACAAGCGCGAGCACGTTGTCTCATATGACGCCTTCACTACACGAACGCGCTCGCTGCACCAGGCCCGCTCAAAGCGCTGCCTTCGCTTTAGCATCTTCCGCTTCGCAGACAGCCTAAAAAACGCATGGACGTGGCCCAGTTCTTCGACGTTCTTATCGGCATGAGCCAATAAGAACGTGCGCTTCATGTTCTGTCTTCTATGTGCAATTCTTTCGAGTTTTTCTTTTGTTTGAGGGGAGGGACCATAACGACGCGTTCGCCTCAATGCAGCGTGAAGCAAGATGCGTGAAGATGACTAGCCACGCCCTGTTTTCCTTAAGCTCTCAGTGACCATAGCAGTTATGGTGAAACAGTGCACAGTCACCGAGCACAAACTGACCGGTGTCGCATATGCTCGCGTCCAATATCCGTGAACCGCATCCGGCACCATTTAGGTGTTGGGCGCCCCGCGATGACAACCTATGACGAAGATGAGAAATAACAAAATGTAACTCGCTCCGATTCGTTGTCTTGTAATATCACAGCGAAATCGCACTTTTTCCTTGTTGACCTTATGTGACAGTTCTTGTACATTTAAAAACGCAATGCGCATTCAGTAAAATTTGAACTTAATATTGTCTCATGGTCTCTTTATTGCATAAAACTCTCATCTTGATCTAGCGGGCGAGGTGAGTTTTAAGCCGAGAAAAATTCACTTAGTCGCCGTTCATGAAAAGCTTACATCTCGCGGCGACTGAACCACGTGTCTATTTTGGGGAGAGGTGAAGAAAAACGTATTTGAAGACTGGAATAGCCACTGGAACAGCTTGAGTAGCACATGGCAGGAATAAGACTGTTTGAGCTCTTCGCTTTCCAATTTTTGTTTTATATTATAATGCAATTACCTGCTTGCTATAGTCGGTAACAGGTAAAGAACCCAGTTGATGCTCCGCCTCCAGCACGTTCTTGTTGCCTTCCGTCGTGCTTAAGCTGCACGTGCGACGAAGTACATGTTATCAAGAAAAAAAAGCTCGCACTCGAGCTGAATTTCCTGAGTTCTTAACCAGTCACCGACTATACGCTTTATTGAGACGCTCGATGCTGAGCACGCCTTATGTTTGTTCTTTAACGTCGGGTAAAACCACCAAAACAGAACTTTCTCGTAATGAGTGGTGGCAGTGTTTTTCCAGGCTTTTGTCGAAGGACAACGATAGCCTGTCCTCTCTAGGCGTCGAAGTTTTGATGTTCCCCCTGGGGAATCACAGGTGTTCCCAGGTTGGAACAGAAGCCGTCCGATCTCGTTGTGTTTGCGACACTGTTGTATGCATAACGCCAACTTCGCAGTGAAATGTCCTTACTACACTACTTGTCTTATTGCGAGAGTCGTTATTTGTGCATTCAATTAACTTTTTGGGGGTCGCTTCGTTGAGCTCTAAGAACAGAAAGAACAAAAAAATTCAAACAAAGAATCTCTGGCATTTGTCGACCGAGAACAGACCCCAGATTGTACTTTTCAACTGAGAGTCAACGGATCTTCCAGATCTCTGCTTATCCTAGCGACGTTTCGTAGTAGTCTGCCGTCCCTTCGAACATACAAAGCACGTTTTTCTCAACTTTGAGGCAATCTATGAGTCTTCATTTTGAAAAGCGAAAAGCAATGTCATGTTCTGCAGACACGCTGTTTGCAGGTGTCAAGATGTGCAAAACATTTTGTGGAATGTCATCTAAAGCTCATTCATGCTGAAAGCAATATAGGTGTTCGGCTCTCACCCACGATTATGGTAAAAGGTCAGTCAAGATAAATCAGCTAAAGCCTATGACCAAATATTTTTTGCAATTCTATGGAAGCGC